CCCCCGCACTCGACTTCCATTCAGAATCGTAGTGGCGTAATGAGTGCGTATGTGGCCTATACAATGAATTGCGGTGGCCAGCCGATGTACAAGTCAGTGCTTTTATCCTCCCAGACGAGCCTGGTACCAGTTCAGTGACCCCGGAGGTATGGAAAACTTAATTGGCCTGTGCGGGCATCAATCCGGGATTCGAACCCCCGACCGTGCGTGTGGGATAGTGCGCCACTTGTCACTACACCACCTCCGCCATTGAAAAATAATGCAGTACAATAGGCAGGCCTAGAACTGATTAAGGCCTATCCTTTATGACCCCACGATTATGAATTATACTCATACTGGCGAGTATGGAAAAATCTAAAACCACGAATTAATGGCATTTTTGTCTCCAAGAAGGTTCGCAATTTACAAATCCCTTCTACTTCAGAAAAGCAAAGAGATATTTTAAGTTGTAAGCATTGCCCTTTGAATGATAGCTCTGCTTTCATAGCGCTTTTCTACAGATAGTTCCGTAGAGCTACAGTCCATCAATCAAGTTTTTCACGCGATGCCAAGCTCGAGCCAATGAAAAACGCAGCCTTCGGAGCTAACGGTCAGATCCATTTTTATAATTTTTTGAGTTCTATAAAGTCCCCTAAAAAACCGTTTAATTTTTAATTGCATCTTACAAAACCATTTTGATAAGGTGCCTATGTAGTTGCTCGAATGCTTACCCAGCAGGTATGTTGCCAACAATTTCCACAGCGTTGTTCTCGTGCCAGTTGAGAATAGCTCCCAAAGCAGCTGTTGAAGCTACCTAAATCACCGTATTCAGCAGCTATAGCTTTCAGGAGTTCGAATGACTGAACTGTAAACATTGTCGAATAAATACAACATTTTCATGTTGTCATTCATGTACGGTAGCTACCATCTCTTTGAAAAGGAAGTGTCGAGCCTGCACAAGGGTTTCGAACTGACTTAATTACGCACCAGAGCTGATAATAGATCTAGTAAATCTGGTAGCCCTGCGCATGAATTGACCATGTGTGCAGGTCAAATTAAATAGTTGATAAATGCAGAATCTAGCGGTAGACGAGAGTACTGTAGTTGGGGTGTGGTGCAGTAGGAACGAAATTGTCGCGTCGCGGCAAGAGAGACGCCGCGCGCGAAAGAACATAGCAGAATGCAGCCGCAGGTAAAAAATACAGGAAGAAAGGGACTAATAGTAGAATCATGCACAAAATAAGGATAGATATCGATTGAGCAATATGAAGAACGTTAGAACCGTAATAACGGCGAACGAATGGTCCGCGACAGCCGCGTGCGGCGAATCAATTAGAGAAAACCGCTCCTACTGCTCGTCTCCCCTGTAGTTGGGACCTTGGCTATGAAACACTGCTGAGAACGACTTCTAATTTTCGAACACTATCAAAAACCTCCCCTTTTAAAGAAAGTGAATGAAACTGAACAGCGTTATCTTAAAAAATTTTCGAAACATCGTTCGAGAATAAAGTCCCATGGAACAAAAGTACTCATACTCATGAAGAAACACCACGTTGCCTTCCGAGATTGACGTAGAAATGGAATAATAGACAAAAAAATTATAGTCCAACTAGATAACAACCAGTCAATTACTCCAGTTCTCGGGCGCCTCTTTCCATTCTCTGCTTCCAATCAGCCCGTTTTCAGTGAGCACGAGTCTATGTATGAAGATGAAATCTCATGAGTTTGAAGCTCCCATTCGAATATCTTCCTAACGGAGAAGGATTTCCGATGAGAACGAAAATCGGAATCCTGCTAGTGTCTATTTCAGGCTGGATGGGGAATAACTGGGCGTTATTGTTACCCACTACAGCAGTTGTTGAGACACTCCCTAACGGTCTCTGACCCGTCCACGACGTCAGTCTTTCGCCCACATCACCTTTTTCCAAGCTCAGCACCAAGAAATTTCATGTGGGGATGGGCGTTAAATAAATGAGTTGTCTCAATCACATCATCAAGTTCTGATAAAGCTGAAGAATCCGAAACGTAAGCCTGAGAAGAGCGCTGTATAATCTACAGTAAGGCCAGTCAGATCATTGCCAATAAATTGGAACTTGTTTTCAATATATTCACTCAATTTTGTGGAAATGTGCAGATGAAGGGAATAGAGTGGACTTACCAGAATAAGTTCATATGGTATAGGCACTCTGAGGTGAACTTTCTTCTTGAGAAAAGGTGATATGTATTCTTTTCCGGCGTAGAGAAACACTATGGATACTAGCGATATAATGAGAGTAGACACATTAACTTGGGGAACTCGAATGGCGAGATCGTAGATTCTCTGAAAATCTCTTTTTGAGGTAAGAAGTCTGGTAATTTCCTATCCCTTAAGAACAACTTTAAGGGAAAAATGTTCGGCAGTATAATTCCTTTGAATAACTGAACTGTTTAATAGTTAATTTGCGCTACAATTCATGAGTTACCCTTCCGACTCGTTTTAGAACTTGTGGATTTTGTTCCATTGTTACATTGTGTTGTACCATTGTAGTTTACCTAACTACTTGAGGAAAGAAGAAAGAAGTGCAGAATGTTTGCGGTGAGATGAGCCATGTCCTCAACTTTTACCGAAAATATGTAGGGGACGCTTTTTGAAGCAC